AGGTTCAAAGTGAACATTGAAATAGAGGCAAGGAAAGGAAAGGAGAGGAGGCTTAGCTGGCATCTGCAGCAGTAGACGGTTAGGGATCTTCCTTCAGGCTTCCGCCCTTTGAACGGAAACAGCGGAAGAGCAGAGAGGTTTGGCAGAGTCCTTGCTCTGTCTCTGTTGCACTTCCACTGACAAGAAGTAATGAGACCCTTCCTAGACTCCATGCTTGCTATATATTGAAGATGGGGGAAGAGAAGACCTACTGCTATCATGTTTTCATGAAAGCATACCTCAGTTAACTTTCAACAAAAAATCCTCAGTGCCCCACTGGGATTTTGTCTATCTGTGATCTCTGTCTGGCTATACTGAACCAAGCTTGAAGCGTGAAGACTTTTTTCCATTAGGGCATCAAGGCACTCTGAAGTGGCTCACAGACATAGACTGGGTAGCTGGATAGCATCGTTCATTGCCCAGATGACCTTCTACAATCTAGCTCCCATCTGAGATACCCACTGAGCAAAATATACTTGTGTTCTTTCAGAGGGAGGGTTGAGGATCATTTTCTAAATGATGTGACTGGCTTTTGTAGGTCTCATGTGAGCTTTTGGACATCACCAGTTTCTTAGGCTTTTCAAAACCCAGGCAGCTTGTTGAACTGTCAGGTCTGCCTCAAAACTTCTTGGCTGTCCAACACTACCTAATTTCGGAGAGGGGATTCCCTTCTGACTGTCCATAGTAGTTAGGACTTAAGAGGAAAAGAGAGGAGAGAATGTCTAACCACAGATTCGTCTCAATGTGAGACAAATTCCTCATATCACTTAGTGCTTTACCCAATATTATCCCCATTTTACAGATCGAGGAGACTGAGGTTTAAAGAGGTTAAGTAACTTGTCTAAAGTCTCATGTCTAGTATCTAACAGGATCCAGAATTGAAACTCGGGGCTTTCTTAGTTTGGAGCTTGAGCTCCCAATTCCACTTGCTGTTGAAGAGTCAAACCAAGAAAAAGACATGTCTAAATGACCTCGTACCCTGCTATTTGATTGACTGAGCTTCAAGAGACTTTTTGTCACTAAGTGGGAAAGGCAGGGGAGGAGTTCAGGGTGTCCCCTAGACTCAGTTAAGAGTTACTCAACCCGCCCTCTTAGACTGAGGTTGCCTTTTCTCAGCAGATCTGGCCTGAGAGCAATCAGTTAGAGTTGTTGGTGTCCTGACTACAATGATTTAGTAGCTTAGGGCATTATTTCCATCCTCTAGCTTCCTTACTCCTCAGCTTTGCCCACAGGAACTGCCGCCACAAAGGCCTGGGCAGGAGATGGAGATGCTGGGTCATGAGCACTTGGGTTGAGGTTTTGAGGAAGGATATGGAAGCCAAAGACTAACAAGAGGCCTTGGCAGCATTTGGGACCACCCTTCATTCCTGTATGCCATTTCGTTGGGCACTTCAGTGAGGTTCGTGATGTAAGGGCCAGCTGCTCACTTACTCTATCCCAGCATCCTTAGCACCACCTCAGAACTAACTGCCAGTTGCCACTTGCCCGCCCCAACAGAATTTAACGGAAGCTGCCAACAGCCTTCCTCTGACCTCATTGGATAGAACCCACTTTGTCCGCAGATAAAAACGCCTCTCTTTCTTCTGAAATAGTCTTCCTGCTATCTTGCAGTGGGCAGTCCTCTTGTGTGGTGTCCAGGCAAAAAACAGAGAAGAAGCCAGTTATTCATTTATCCCCACAAGGGACCTCTTTTTCCCATACCAAGTATACAAATAATTCCCATAAGGACAGGCCATGTATGGTGATTAAAAAAAAAAAAATGTTGGGCCAGAGTTGTCTGCCCCTCAGCTTCAACCAGCTTTGTTGACTTTCCTGCTGACAGAAGTGGGAATTTGTTTAACTCAGATGAATATGCGTATTCAAGGGACCGTGCTAGTGGAAACCTTTAGGAACCAGTTTCCATTGGGAGGGAGTGAGTAGCACACATCTGGGGACATGTGTGTAGAAAGAGTGAAATTTGCAGAAGAAAATTTCTGGGGTCCAGGGTGTGGTTATATTAAGACAGAGCCACCTGGGAGGCTCTCATTATATTGAAACTCTCATTATATTGAAACTCTCATTATATTGAAACTCTCATTATATTGAAA